ACCCGCTTTCCTGCCGGGATAACCTCAATCGCGCGTGATCTATTTTGCGAGTGCAAGAACATACTTGAGTCTGAGGGGGGGGGGGGGGGGATGACATTAGAAAAATCGTAATTGATAGATATTGGGCGGAACGCGTCGGAATGTTTAGAAAAATAGGGCGCACGCTTGATCCAGTTTAGGATACATTGTTGACTGCTTTCGGGAACGTGATTTAACTTGTTTAACCAGCGCTTAAACAATCGTCACGTCGCACAGAGGAGTAACTGGAACCAAAACCTGGCAAAAATAATAAAACAAGATTTTCTTGATTTTTCATGCTTCTATATTTTTTTTATATGTTTCAATATATGCAGCATAAAGTGGAAACGGAATAAAAACGTTACATTCTGTTTACAAATTTTGAGATGTTTTAAAAATCTGAAGAAATTCGAAGCTTCTTGTTTTCCAAAAAGTAACCATGTAATAATTACGCCTACCAGATATAAACAATTTGATCAAGAGACAAGTGTTATAATAATAACGGCGCCGGTGGTATAGTGGTAAGCGTGATTACCTCTCACCCCAGCAGGCCTGGGTTCAATCCCAGTCGGCGCCGCCGGGATGTTCTGAGGCATAACATCTCTGATCACGCCTTCCTTCGGAAGGGGAAGTAAAACCGTTGGTCCCCGGTTCATGAGTTGATGGGTCGATAGGTAGGGTCCAGGTGTGGGAGCTCCCTTCCTGGCACGTCGGTAACATTGGTGCTCAGCACGGAAAACAAGATCGACGGAAAAAACAAACCAAAGGAAAAAAAAAATGTTATAATAAAATGGGTACTTTTGGCTCTTTTTTAACAAGTTATGAGTTAAAAACAATGTGAAATAATGTCTTACTTTTTTCAACAAAATAATGTCTTATTTTTTTCAACAATATGAAAAAATGTATTTCTTATGTTTTTTTTTGTGCTGTTTCAGACTCGAAAAAGTTGTAGAATCTTGCGCGATCAGATCATATAATCTATGGACGAATGAAAGTTCACGTTTTTTTTTATACATTTCGTTTATTTGGAAGGCTCAATCACGTTAGCTTTACGGAGCCGATAATTCATTGTTCACTGTTTGTAACAAAATTCACTTAATTCTATGTCTAGTAGGAGTTGGGCCGATTACTCGCGGCTTACTCGAGGTTAGAGGGGTACATTGTTGAAGGATAGGATCAGGGGAGGAGCTTGGGGTAGGGTTTCGTTGTCTCATCAGAGCGTTGTCGCCAGTATGAATAGTAGTGCTGTTCTAGCTTCGTCTGGAGTTCGACGAAAGTTCACGTTATTAAGAACACACTGGCATTGGAATCTCGTCCAGAGTCGTCCGGATTGGCGATTGCAAGCCATTTGAAAATGGCATGTTTTGCATCATTTCGTGGCAAAATTTTACTTCCAGACAACTTCTGTAACACAACGGTTTTCTGCAGATACCTATGACAAACTTACCGAGTACTACTTTAAGTTTTTTTAGCTACCTCTTTAAATCTATTACATCAATTGTGGTATTAGATTAAAATTACAGTTCACTAAACTAATCCCGGTTTGTTACCCATGACCAGCATCATTTTACTAATGTTGCTAAGTTTCTAAATCTAGTACCTCAATTGATGTACTAGCATAAAGAAGTGTAACGCTAGAATAACCATATGTCATTAGTTTATTTTTATAATTTGTGTGTGTAGCAATGTTTATCACAGACCGTTTACCCCATAAAGTATTTCACTTTTCAGGTAGATACTGTAAATTTGGAAAATTAGCGAGTGCCTTTTGGTTGTAATACTCTCTCATACACACACACACATTTACCCATTCGATTTACATACACACAGGTTCGTTCAAGCCAAACTAGCAGAGCGTCATATTTATATTTTTCATATTTTTTATTATTTTTTTTTATTTCAGGGCATGGATATTTTATTTACTCTTTTTTGTTAAATAATCCTTATATTAAGCAGAAGAATAAAAATATCCTACTTTCAAAACCCATTACTTTTTTTATTCGTATGGATGATGAAAGGCCAGATATGCACTGCTAAATAGATGGATTTTAAAAGTTAAAGATAACAGAAGTCTAAAAACCTATTATTATTATTATTAAATATTTTAATATATTTTAGCAGAAAATTGCTCAAAACCAGTGAATATAATTTTGGCCAGGTTTTTGTTCCAGTTACTCCTCTGTGCGTCGGTCATAGCTTGTTATGATAGCCTGAACAAATGATAAGACAATCTGATTCAAATGTCGTAATAATACCTCTGACCAAGGCAAAATGATTTATATGGTTTTTATAAAACTTGGCAATACCAATACTAATAAGGAAAGGAATTCCACATTTCCTTTTCCCAAGTTCTTTTCCTCTCCTTCCCTTCCCTTCTTCTCTTTTCAGAAAGCGAGTAATGGCGCTATAACCATATGCCATATAGGGCTAGGAGAAGAGTTAGTGCTCAGGTCCCAACTGCTAGAAAAAAATGGAGCATCACTTAAGGGAGCATCCATAAATGACGTAGCATATTTTTGATCAATTTTAGACCCCTCCTCCCCCCCTCGTAGCGTATTTGGTTATATCCAATACATGGCCGGTCACAAATTCTGAAACCCCCACCTCCCCCCTCAAATGCTACGTCATTTATGCATGTTCCCTAACCTTTTTAGACTAGATGCTTCCAACGACAAATGATTTATAAATAATAATACAACGGAACGTACGGTACGAGATGTCCACGTTTCATCCATTTATTGGATTCTGAAGCATCGTGTTTAAATCTTGGATTTAAACAGGCCTGATGTTTCTAAATCATCTTGCCCCTCAAATGCTGCACAGTAGGCCTGGACATTTTGATATATTTTGCGCATCTATGATGTGCAACATATACCAAATAGGAAAAAAAATGATCGAACAATATCTATCATTTTCCAGGATGCTTTCATGAACTGGCAATGTTGGTGTTAGATTAGATTAGTGGTCCTATATAATATACTCAAGCCTTTTTACACGGTTTGATTTACGCGGTTTTTCACATGGTTTTTTACACGGTCGGTGCCGCTGAGTCGCAATTAACACGGTACGTTTGTAACGATTTATCGATAACGATAAAATCTAGCCACTTGATTCGGATCACATAATCCGCTTCAAACCATTTGTAATCGAATGGCATACTTAAAAATATCACAATTTTTGGTAAAAAGTACAGATTTTTTTTTAAATAAGTCTATATGGACCATATGGCCTCCCTTAGCTCAGTCGGTAAAGGCGCAGCTACAGAGCAAGATCATGCTGGAGGTGGCTGGGTTCGATTCCCGGTCCGGTCTAGGAATTTTTCGTGTTGGAAAATTTCTCGACTTCCCTGGGCATAGAAGTATGATTGGACTTGCCACACAATTATACTAATGCAAAAATGGTACAGGCATCGAAAGCTCTCAATTAATAACTGTGGAAGTGTCTCTAGAACACTAAGTTGAGAGCACGCAATAAGCTAATGTGCGATGTGCAATAAGCTTGAAATGCGAAGAAGAAGAAGAAGACATACTAAAATTATGAATGGCATCAAAATGATTTTTGTTTTAAATATTTTACTATGTGAAAAATCAAAATCTTTTTTTTTTTGCCCGGTACAAATCTCTCTTGTAAAAAAAGATTTGAGTGTAAATTTGTTTGTTTCCATTATTTTCCAAATTTATTTCGTTACAAAGTTAAAGCTTGTTATAAAATTGATTTTTTGACTTCTCTGACGTTTAAGAATTGCACAAGTGTGCAGAGCTTTGTGTAAATTCAAAGGATTTCTTACACTAATACTTATAAATTTAACCAAAATTCTGCACTAATATTTGTGCATTTCACAAACGTCACAGAAGTCTATGCTACCGACGCAAGGGAGGCAGCTCCCACACCGGAACCCTACTTATCGACCCATCAACTCATGAACCGGGGATCAACGGCTCCGAAGGAAGGCGTGATCAGAGATGTTATACCTCAGAAAATCCCGACGACGCCGACTGGGATTGAACCCAGGCCTGCTGGGGTGAGAGGTAATCACGCTTACCACTACACCACCGGCGCCCCCTAAAATTGAAAATAAAATCACGACTAAAAATCGAAGCACAAGTGCCACAACTGACACACATAAATTATTTACATCTCACTGATTCAGAATCTAATCTTTAAGCGAGGTAATGTTTTATTATCTTAGTCCGATTTTGTGGGAGAGGGAGTGGGGGTTCATTCATATCTTACAAAATCTTTCAATTGGGGGATTTGGTTTATTTTTTTCAATGCAGGTTATCTCTAAAGTGTTGTTATAAAAAGTTTTTCTGTAAGTGTGCCCATCTTGCAATGAATTGACGTAGAGATGAACCAGCCTAAGGCTGAAAGTCTCGTTAATAAAGGAAAAAAAAAGCAATGAATTGACGATTTAACTACAAATTGATGTTGTTTTCTAGAAAACAATTTGCCATATATTTTTAAATTGATTTTTAGCAGTAATGTTTTTTAATGAACATTTAGACAATTTTCTATATTTTACTTCTTGACCTTAACATATTTTAGTTAGGGGCTGTTCATAAACTACATAGACAGTTTAGGGGGGGGGGGGGTTGAGAATTATCCACGGCCCATTCCAATTTTAATTTTTTTGTATGGACAATTGTCTACGCAGGGGGGGGGGGGGGTCAAGAATCCCAAAAAACTGTCTAAGTAATTTATGAACAGACCCTTATGACAATTTGAAAGAAAAAAATGAATTTAAGTTCGTCCTTTTTCAGTTGAATTCTTTAATTTGAATGCATGACATCTAATTTGAAACATATGGCAATAGCAATCGGATATCTCATTATTTCCCCAGCTGCATCGCATAACAGCTAAACTTTGCAAAGCACAGTCACCAAGTCAGAATTTTGGTTCGTTTCAGTGCGCGTGTTAGTGCTTGAATCCACCACCATCCCGAAATAAAATTGGTTCACACGCCGAGTCACACATTAGTCAGCGTTCGTCTGCTAACGTATCAAGTGGTGGTGGTCGCTGCAGAACCAGCAATATGCTCGTCACAATCACACTAATCGTTTCGGCACTTGCGGCCATATATCTGTATCTGACTTGGAACTACAATTACTGGAGGAAACAAGATGTGCCTGGTCCAAGTCCAAAGCCGTTGCTCGGCAATTTCCCTTCGTTTGTCCTAATGAAGCGGCATGTGGCGTATGAAATGGACGAAATATACAGGTACGTAAATGTGGCACTGAAATCTGCTAATCAATCAATTAATAATCAATAATTGCAGAGAATACAAAACCAAATTTAACTTCTCTGGCGTATTCAGTATTCGATCGCCAAGAATAATGATCACGTCATCTACGTTGGCCAAAGACATTCTACTGAAAAATTTCAAAAACTTCCACGATAATGAATTCGGTGAAGTTACGAATAAAGACATAGATCCACTGTTTGGTCGGAACCCATTTATGTTGAATGGTGAGGAATGGAAAACGAAACGAGCTGAGATCACACCGGCGTTTACCGCATCGCGTGTGAGTTTCCGAAAAAAAAAAGTTGATGTCATTCGATCTGGGATAAATATATATTTATATTTTTTAGATGAAGGCACTTTTCCCCCTTATAGAGGATGTGAGCTCAAGAATGAGCAAATATGTCGAACAGCACCGTGGATCTTCACTGGAAGCTAAAGAGTTAGCGGCTAAATTTACAACTGATGTTGTTTCGAGCTGTGTTTTTTCTTGCGACGCACAGTCATTTACCAGCGAAAAACCTGAAATTCGAGAGCAGGGACGTAAGCTTATGGAGAGTTCGTTCTCTTCAATGATAACGATGATGTTCATAATGGCGTTCCCTTCGTTGGCGAAACGTTTTGGTATTGGTATGGTACGAAAACCACTGGAGAAATTTTTCACCGATTTGATGAAACAAGCCATCACTCATCGTGATAATAGCACTGAAAAACGGGCTGACTATCTGGACTATCTTATCAGCTTGCGAAATAAGAAAGAAATATCTGAACTAGATATGGCTGCCCACGGAGTAACGTTCTTTATCGATGGATTCGAAACGTCCAGCGTAGCCATTTCGTTCATGTTATATGAATTGGCAAAGAATGATGCTATACAATCACGACTGAGGGAAGAGCTTTCGAAGGCAACCAGCGAGGACGGAACGATATCATATGATATTCTACTGGAGCTTCCCTATCTGGATCAAGTTATCAACGAAAGTCTACGCCTTTGGCCACCGGTAGGATTCATTTCCAAAAAATGTACCGAACCGATGGAACTGGATTTGACTGAAAACCGGAAGGTTGCCATTGAAAAAGATGTCTGCGCATACATCAACATCTGGTCCATGCATCGTGATCCAGAATACTTCAATGACCCTCTGACGTTCAATCCGGATAGATTCAGTCCAGAAAACGGTGGAACAAGTTCCTACCGTGAAAAAGGTTGCTTCATTCCATTTGGCGATGGTCCACGACAGTGTCTAGGGATGAGATTTGCTCGTATGCAAATCAAACGTTGCCTGTACGAGGTGATCAAACATTTCGAAATCACAGTCAATCCCAAAACGAAAGATCCCATGGAGCTGGATCCGAAACAGTTCCTTACTGTGGCTCTTGGAGGACTTTGGTTGGATTTTGAACCGATTTCGAAATGAACTTAATACTTTAATACTTTATTCATGAATCCAATGTTTATTCGATTGACAAATGTTCAAAAGATATCGGGGATCACTACGGTTTTTCAAACCACGACTAAGGTTAAACACGGTCGATCTAAAATTGAGTGTTACGAAGAAATTACAACATTCACGACCGCTGAGATTCATTCAAAATTGAGTGGATTTTCACTCGACATCGCAAAAACGTATATTACTCATAGATTTAGTAAAATTTTCCCCGCTTTTCCTCAAAAATCTGCTTGAATATTAGGAAAATTGACGAAAACTTTACTCAGTTCAGGAATATACTAAAATATTGAAAGAAACCTTTCTCGATTTTTCTTATTTTCTAAACTTTTTTTTCCAGAAAATCGACGAGAATTATACTCAGTCAATGAGTAACCTAAGCTTTTGCGATTTCAAGTGAAAATCCACTCAATTTGAGTTGATCTCATGGGCCGTGAATGTTGTAATTTCTCCGTCACGCTGGTTTTTGAACATTTATGAGTCATATAAACATCGGATTCATGAAAAAATCACACATTTAAGTGAACCGCGATTGAAACTGTCCGGTTCAACCTCAGTTCACTACCCAAGTCTGCAGGCCGCACATAGTTCCTCGATGTCTGTGATGCGACAACCTCTGTCCGGATACCTTTTAGTATTGCAAATAAATGGCCGAAATGGTTATAAGCAATAAACAGAATGCTGCTTGACTGACCAGTAATGACATAGCCATGGATCAATGAGTCTAGCATATAGATCGATCGATATAGCCTTACTGAAACATTTATGTATTGATGCATTTGTAAACCTAACTAATTTTATATGTGACGAAAACAACTATGTCAAGTAAAATTAAGTTCCCCGAGACTGAAAAGCTCGTTCCTCCTGGTAAAGTACGTTTGATTGAGTTGAATTTTGCGTTTGTTATGAGTCAATTTTATGTCAAAATTGTCGCTCGTATATGTCAGTCTCAGTGCACCTAACCCAAGTAACAATTTAGGTTTTATTGGGGGGTTCTGTAGACCATGATTAAGACTTGTAGAATGCTTTAAAACCTTGATAAAACCTGCAATGTTGCTTGGGAAATTTACATGATTTTTTCTAAATGTGCATGTAATATATTTTATTAATGTGAACTAATTATATATATTGCTAAAATGATGCTAATTAAACAAGATTTGATATGCCAAGTACACACAAGTTGCGTTTCATTGTGAACACCACACACTACGAAAATCTCATGAAAATTTCAGTGTCCTGTGACCAACAAGTGCAAGCAACTCTTTTGACATAAGGATCAGATGAAAGACACGAGAATTTCAGTTCAATTAATTAACCTTTGCGTGCCCAACGTCTAAATTTGCATAGGTTACAAAATTCAATAGCTCTAAAACATGACTTCGAAATCTTTTTCTTCACAACAAGTTGCATTTTTCGAGAATCTATTGAAGTTTTTTAATCCATGTGAAAATTTTTCGATCAATACATGGTTCCGAAGTTATTGGGGTCACTTTTGGTCGGCATTCGTTTTTACTATTCTGTAATAAGTATACACACGATGAACATCATGTTTTTTTCTTCTCTCAAATGATGTAATTAGACCAACCGGGGCAGCTATACAGACGTTCCACGATCACATTGGGCATCCCGGAAATGTTCCGGTGCCCCCGCGGGAGTGGCCAATTTTCAATACAAACCAAAACCTACCGTACGGCATATCAAACTTCATGGTTTTTCTTAACTCGGCGGGTAATGGACATTGGTCACCCCTTTTTCTTCTTCTTCTTCTTCTTATTTGAATTTCAATCTTATTGCTCAGTGCATATTAACTTATTGCGTGCTCTCAAGTTAGTGTTCTAAATGCACTTCCACAGTTATTAATTGAGAGCTTTCGATGCCAATACCAATCCATGAATTTGTATGTTGTGTGGCAAACACAATGATACTCTATGCCCAGGGTAGTCGAGAAAATTTCCAACCTGAAAGATTCCCTCAACCGGACCGGGAATCGAACCCGCTGCCTCCGGCTTGGTAATACCGTACCTTTACTGACTAGGCTATGGGCCCCCCTGGTACCCTCGAGGAAGTGGTCAATTATCAACAAGAATTAAAACTGGCTGTGTGACATAGCACAGGTCATCATTCAAAAAAATAATCGGACATCCCTCGGGCATATTCCGGTGCCCCGAAGAAGTAGCCAATTTTCGACAAGAACCAAGAACCTTCCGGGTAAATATCCATCTCCCAATAAGAACCAAAACCCGTCGTGTGACAAATCAAACTTCATTATTTTTCGAAACTCCGTCCGTAAAGACCATATTAAGAGTTCAAATTTGCTAATACCCCTTTTCTTCTGATTTGCGTTTCTTTCATGTAGCTTTAAGACATACGTGCCGCAATGATTTTACCTTTTCATCATTGGAACGAGAGCAATACGAACACCTCTTTTGTCCAGAGCCACATTTATAGTCTTGATGGAAAGATTTTGGTTGATGTAAGTTGTTGCAAAAATGCCACAAGTGTAAATTGATACATTTTTTTGTGATTCTCGCAAATAACATTTCCGTACTGTAACAAGCGCTGATTTGCTCAAACATTCAATGCAACTTTTGGTCAATGCAATGTATTTTTCATACATTTGTGTGTAACTGGATATGAATATTTTAGATTTTTCCACTGCATTATGTATCAATCCTTTTATTTCTGTTCGTTCCTTGACGTGTTTTAAAGTGCCAACTCCTTTGCCAGCCAGTTTAAAAATTTCCGCTTTCGGCTCTTGTCATTCGGTAGATAGTGCGGATATGCAGCCGTAAATTGATGAATTTACGCAAAGGTAAAACTGACCATGTGACACCTACTTTTCAGATTTGCAATTACAAAACTGATGATGATGTAAAATATTCCATATGACTTGACAGGTAGCAAAACGTCATTATCATTTTCACATCATTTCCATCTGCTGGTCGACCGTAACGTAAATTCATCAATAGAAAATACACATTATGAGATCACATATCGGTAAGGTTCATGAAAACAGCAAACGACCATCTGTCCGTTCGCCGTTTGAAAGTGTATCCCGCACACTAAAAAAATCTTAATTTTACTGGTGATGTAAACATCCATGCATGCAAACATTCATGCATGTAAACTTCCTTTTCACGTAAACTAGCAGCTTGCAAGAAATATTGCAAACAAAGGTGGAAAGTTGCATACAATATATGGAATATTGCATGACATGTCTCATAAATTTACACGATCTATAATCTAAACTTGTATGATATATGACGCTCCATTTATGTGCATCATAGTAACGGAAATTTACACTACTTTTTTTAGCTGTGCGTGGTCATTTAATCTAGTGTGTCCACTCCTCCTTTCAATCTGTTGAACAACTATACTATATTTACAACTATAGAAAAAAATATAAATGACAACTGAATCACAATAATTATTTTGTTGTTATTGTTGTTGTTGTTATTGTTGTTGTTGTTGCAGTATGTTTCAGAAAAGCGGTTTTGCAATATGTTGTATTAGTATTTACATTATTCAAGTAAATACTCATACAAAATATTGCAAAATATAGTTGAAGATGCTAATTTCAAATAACAGACTGTAGTGGTAATTTTTATACGATAGATGGAGTAGATGAAAGCATAGAGTTGATAGTTCCGTTAGAGTACGGCAGTGTGAAGATTGTAAATAGATATTAGAATAGCGAACTAGGACAACTTTTAAGGAAGGTACAAATCGGTTTTTTCATCTCTATTTACCAAACTCCCCCTTTGGAGAGGGATGGTGAGGGGTGTCCCCCCCCCGCCACCACTGGCAAAAAGAGATGAAAACCGACCCGTTCAAGTACCAATTGTGTGTTTGAAACAGTTCTACCGATTTTTACCGCACTTCAATTGTTATTTGAAGGAAGGCATCCAGTCGCAGGTTTGGAAATTGCAACTATTGTTTACCCCTACCACGATATGTGCTCCTGTCATCGTCGACTTGACGATCTCGAAGGGACACGGGTGGGGTAGGTGTTGCTACTGTATCCAGAGTTATGTACTTTGACTATATGTTTTTAGTATTACTTCTACGTGAAGTCAACGATTTACATAGTTCCGTACTCTAACGGAACTATCAACTCTATGCTTTCATCTACTCCATCTATCGTATAAAAATTACCACTACAGTCTGTTATTTGAAATTAGCATCTTCAACTATGTAAATCGTTGACTTCACGTAGAAGTAATACTAAAAACATATAGTCAAAGTATTGCAAAATAGCTTTCTTACAGACGTTGTTTTATTATAAGAAACAGCAATTAACTTGCATTCTTACTTGCGCCTTCATAGAAGTTGACAGAGTTGATTTATTTCTCTTCTTAGAAGTTGATGGTTCAGCATTTTTCTCAATGTCGTCTATCGATTCTCGATCCGTCGATAGAAGCAACACAGTTTTACCCTTACGCTCGATCCAAGATGTGAGTCTCATTTCTTCACTGTAACCATGTAGTACAGAGCCAGGCTCCCGGTTTTTGTTTCTTATCGATGAACTCTGGTGGGATTTCTTTGCATCTTAGAGTACACAAGGACACAAGATCTTTGTCGAGAAAACCTTTAGATAGAGGTACTGAATTTATCGTTATCGAATCAAACCCTGCGTCCAGAGTTGTAGAATGGTTTAATCAGTTGTGTTACAACACGCTGTCCTTGATTTTATCGGGTTTATCGTTGATTTTTCCTAATAAAATAATAATTATTTGTCTTGTCATTTGAGAAGCTGTCGGCTTCGGCATGTTCTTAGACTATAATTGTCAGGGGTTAAATAAAGTCGTAGAGTGTTATTTTTCCCAAAAGGATACTCTGGAGCATGACTCACCTTCATGCACTCCCTGACGATAATAAGTTAAGAAGTACCAAAGGTGTTATTGACCCTTTAATAAATAATAAAGAAATTTTACAAGACTAACGATCGTAGTACGAAAGCAGCCAGATAT